CTTGCCCAGTCCCCTATAATGCTTTAAGGCCAGCGTCTCCGGGAAAAAACAGAACATTAACTTTTATTCTGATCTCTGTTGGCAGACGATTAAGAGAGTAGCTTCTAGATTGGCTCTAAGTGCAAAAATTAGTTCCTCTGCAGACGGGGTGACTCCCTCTAGAAACTGCCCTCCCACATATCAACCCTACTGATATGGAATAATAAAAGCCTCTTGAAACCAGCTGTGAAAGTCAGCTGGCTCCAGGTTAGACTCCACTCCCTGGACTGGCCTCCTCTCCTTTTTACGGCCCTTTATCCCCAACCCTACCCTTGAACCCCTCCCATTCTAAAACTAAAAATTACAGTAACAGGAAACAACCCTTTGGATGTACTTAACAGAAGCAGTCTGAGTACAACAGAAGGTAAGATTTGATTTTAGTGGACTGGAAGGCAGGTCAATAGAAAGTATGCAAACTGAAGGACAGAGAAAGAAGGACAGAACATAACAGAACAGGGGACACAGTTACAAGGTCAATACCTGTGTAATGATAGTCCCTGAAAGACAGGAGAAAGAGAATGGAGGTAGAATAAATATTTGAGGAGATAACAACCAAGATTTCCTTAAAACAGACAAAAGACATGGACTTTTCAGATTCTACAAATTCAGTAAACCCTGGGTAGAACAAAAAGACCAACTTCTCTCAGAAATATTAGAAGTAGCTTCAACTCATAAATTTACTGAAGACAATTCTTAAGTTAAAATAAAGGAAGAAATTTCGACTATAAGACAGCTTTCATAGGCCTAAGCAGTTCTATAACACCAGACAGTGGCTTGAGTCACTGTGGCAAGGGCTGGAAAAGTCCACACAGAAGAGAGTGTAAAAATCATGTGCTAAACAGGCCCACACCCAAATCAACCCTTGAGCGCAAGAGAAAAAGAGGAATTCAAAGGGGAAATGGAAATTAATAGGTTATGATTACACTGGTGAGAAATCAAAATCAACGAGCTTAAAAAAAAAAAATCAACGAGCTCATTAAACTATAGTTAGCAACTGGAAATGGAAGCTGCCAACCTATAAATTTCTAAATTTTATAACAAGGTAGCAAGTGCTTAAGGGTCCTTTCCTGAAAGAGAAGACAACTTGCATATGTGATTTCCCCTTCCTACCCAAAACACATTAAACATGGTACCATAATTAACCTTTTAATGGGAAACATTTCTCTCAAGTGATCTTACGCTTGAGGTCATAGGTTCAGATACCCAGCACAGAATGGTTGTCAGGCCAGATAGTCTAACACTGAAAAGTTCCCTCTCTTTCTTTTTCCATGACACTGAGTTTCTTCTATAGCTTTTGGAAACAATCACGTGCATTTGAATTGTTCCAAGTATTGCACTGGATTCTGATAACATCATTTTGTTTGGTTAAGCTACAAGACCCTAAAATTGACATTTTAAAAAAGACACTCCTTTTTTAGAACAGTTTCAGATTCTCAGCAAAATTGAGCAAATGGTAGAGAGATTTCCTATATCCTTTTGCCCCCAAGACGCACCCAGTCTCCTCCACTATCAAAATCCCCTACCAGAGTGGTAGATTTGCTACAATTGATGAACCTCTGTTGGTTACATCGTTATCACACAAAGTCCATGTTTACCTTAGTAAACTCTTGCTGTTGTACACTGTATGGGTTTTGACAAATGTAAAAGGTGAGAGATTTAGACAATCTGAAGAGAAACCAGAGTATTGGGTTTTGACAAACACATAGTGACACGTATCCACAATAATAATGTCATTCAGGGTAATTACACTGCTCTAAAAACCCTTTGTGTTCTATCTATTCATTCTTCCCTCTTCCCAGCCCCTGGCAACCACTGATCTTTTACTGTTTCCATAGTTTTGCCTATTTCACAACATCACAGATTTGGAATCTTACAATACAAAGCCTTTTAGATTGCCTTCTTTCACTTCATAATATGCACTTAAGATTCCTCCCTGTCTTTTCATGGCTTGGTGGTTCATTTCTTTTTAGGGTTGAACAAAATTCCATTGTGTGCATGTGTCATAATTTATTTTTCCATCCAGGTACTGTAAGACATCTTGTTTGTTTCCAAATTTTGGCAGTTATGAAAAAAGTTACGATAACCATTAACGTGCAGGTTTGTGTGTGGATAGGAATTTTCAATTTTTTTGAGTAAGTATCAAGAAGCATAATTTCTGGATTGTAAGGTAAGAGTATGTTTGGTATTGTAAGCAATGCCTAAATATCTTCCAAAGTGGCCATACTATTTTGCATTCCCACCAGTAATGAATGAGAGTTACGATTGCTCCACATCCTTGCTAGGAGTTGCTATGTTTTTATTGTAATTCCCTAATGGCTTATGATGTTGAGCATCTTTTCCTGTGCTTATTTGTTATTTGTAATCTTCTTTGGTGAGATGTCTGTTGACCGTATTTATGTGGTTCTATTTCTGCATTCTCTATTCTGTTCATTGGTCTATACCAGGGGTCCTCAAACTTTTTAAACAGGGGGCCAGTTCACTGTCCCTCAGACTGTTGGAGGGCTGGACTGCGGGCCCCGGGACCAGTCAGCTGCTAAGCAGGACAGACAGTGTGGCAAAAACACTGGGCGGGCTGGATAAATGTCCTAGGTGGGCCACATGTGGCCCGAGGGCCATAGTTTGAGAACACCTAGTCTATACCCACATGTCTATTCTTTTGCCAGTGTCCCACTGTCTTGTTTACTTAGGCAGTGTTAGTCCTCCAACTTTGTTCTTCAATATCGTGTTGACTATTCTGAGTCTTTTGCATCTCCAAATAAACTTGAGAACCAGTCTGTCAAATCTACAAAATAATTTGCTGGGATTTTTTTTTTTTGGAGGGGGGAAAGGGATTGTATTGACTGTATGGATCAAATTGAGAAGAATGGACATCTTGACACTATTGAGTCTTCTTACCTAGATGAAATAATTCTTTATCTATTTAGTGATTGCTTTCATCACTTTTTTCCAGTATATTCACAGAGTTGTGCAATAATTATCACTATCTAATTTCTGAATATATTTTTACTCCCCAAAGAAATTTCATGCTAATTATCAGTCACTTACTATTTTCTTTCCTTTTATTTAAATTTTATTCCCCACTTACCATTTTCATTTCCACCACTTGCTCTTCCCCCTCCCAGTCTCTGAAAACTAATCTATTTTCTATATTTATATATTTACCTATTCTGGACATTTCATATAAATAGAATCACATAATATATATTCCTTTGTGTCTGGCTTCTTTTCACTTATTGTAACATTTTTGAAATTCCTCCATGGTACAGCAAGTGCCATTCATTTTTTTATTGCCAAAACCATATTATACTGTATAGAAATTCAACATTTTGTTTATCTCTTTGTCAGTTGATGGACATTTGAGATTTGGGGTGGTTTTTTGCTGTTATTAATGATGCTGCTATGAACACTCATGCACGTATTTTTGTGTGGACATATGTTTTTAATTACTTTTGGCACATAACCCAGAATTGCTGGGTTATACAGCAACTCTATGTTTAACTCTTTGAGGAACTATCCGACTACTTTCCAAAGTGGTTGCATGAATTTTACATTCCACCAGCAGTGCAGGAGAGTTCCAGTTCTTCTATTATTCTCCTCATTTGTATTATGTATCTTCTTGACAACAGCTATTTTACTGAGTATGAAGTGACATTTCATTGGGGTTTTGATTTGCATTTCCCTAACAACTAATGATGTTGAGCATCTTGTCAGGTACTTATTGGCCATTTGTATATATTCTTTGCAGAAACATCTGTTGAAATTCATTGCTCATTTTTAATTGTTTTTTTTTTTTGTTGTTGTTGTTATTTAGAGTTGTAAGGTTTTTTTTATGTATTCTGAATGCAATTTCATTACCTGATATGATTTGCAATTTCCTCCCATTTTGTAGGCTGTCTTTTTACCTTCTTGATTGTGTCTTTTGAAGGAAAAAAAAGAGTTTAATTTTGATACAACCTATTTTATCTTTTTTTTTTTTTCTTTTGTAGCTTGCGCCTTTGATGTCATATCTGAGAAACTACTACTGAATCCAAGGTCATAAGGATTTATTCCTATGTTTTATTTAAGAGATATACAGGTTTAGCTCATGGGTTGATAATCCATTTTGAGATCATTTTTATATGTGTTAAGGGTTATATGAGGTTAAGGGTTCATCATCAATTTTTTTACATGTGAATATCTAGTAGTTACAACATTTGCTGAAAAAACTCTTCTTTAATTCCTTTTAAAAAATCAATTGGTCATACATGCATGTGTTTACTTCTGGGTTCTCTATTGTGTCCTGCTGGCCTATATGTTTATCCTTATTTCAGCACCACTGTCTTTATTACTTTTCTTGCATTGAGTTTTGCAATAAAGAAGTTAGTCTTTCAACTTTGTCCTTTTTCAAGATTTTTTTATAGTGGGTTCTATGCATTTCTATATGAATTTTAGGAGTACCTTGTTAATTTCTTCCCCCAAAAAGCCAATTGAGACTTTGATAGAGATTGCAATGAAATGAATCTGCAGATCAATTTGGGGTTTATTATTATTATTATTGCTTATAAAGTCTTCTAATTCATGAACATGGGATGTCTTTACATTTATTTAGGTCTTTTAAACTTTCTTTAAACAATGTTTTGTAGTTTTTAGTGTATACTTCTTTTGTTAAATGCATTTCTAAATATTATATGTATTTTGATGACATTGTAAGTGGAATTGTGGTGACAATTTCATCAAATTCTTCATTTCTAATGCATAGAAATGCAGTTGGCTTTTTATGTATTAATATCCTCCAACTTTGATGAGTTCATGTATTCTAATTTTTTTGAAATCCTTAGAATTTTCCATACATAAGATGAAGTCATCCCCAAATAGAAGTAATGTTACTTCTTACTTTCCAGCTTGGATCCCTTTCTTTCTCTTGCTTTAAACACCCTGAGTAGAACTTCAAATATAATGTTGACTTAAATTGGAGAGAGTGCCTGCGGTTAACTAAGCTGACCATGCTCCTTTCCTCATGGGGGCCTGGTGTGCAATGGCTGCAAACAGCGGGCTCCTTGGTAATGTATCCGGCCTATTGCTTTTATAGGTTGCTCTAAGGGACCTTGGCGACACTCCATTCCAGTACATGTTCATGTGTTAGACCTTGTGCTGTCCCCAGTCTAGGCTCCAGAAAGGTATGTGTGGTGCCTTTGGAAAGCCCCAGAGCACTGTGGCTGAGGTTCACATTGGCCAAGTCCTCATGTCCATCCACACCAAACTATAGAACAAGAAGCATGTGACTGAGGCCCTTTGCAGGGCCAAGTTCAAGTTCCCTGGCCACCAGAAGATTCACATCTCCATAAAATGGGGTTTTACCAAGTTTAACTTAGATGAATTTGAAGACATGATGGCTGAGAAGCAGCTCGTCCCAGATGGCTGTGGGGTCACATACATCCCCAGTTGTGGCCCCCTGGACAAGTAGTGGGCCCTGCACTCTGAGAACTTATGCTGTGCTATCTGTCATTTGCACCTACCAATAATAAATCCTACTTCCTATCCACTTTTAAAATAAATAAATAAATAAATAAACTGGTGAGCGTGGACATCACTGTCTTGTTCTTGATCTTAAAAAACAAGTTTTCAGACTTTTACCTTCAAATATAGTGTTAGCTGTGGGTTTTAACAGATGCCATTTATCACCTTAGGAAGTTCCCTTCTGTTCCCAGTTTGTTAACTGTTTTTAACATGAAAAGTTGTTAGATTTTCTCAAGTGCTTTTTCTACATTTATTGAGATGATGGTGTGGGCTTTACTCTACTAATGTGGTGCATTACATTCCTTGATTTTTATATTTTGAAGCAACATTGCAGTACAAGGATAAATCTTACTTTGTCATAATGTATAGTTCTTTTTATATGTTGTCAAATAATGTTTGCTGCCATTTTGTTGAGGATTTTGTATCTATAAAGTATATTGGCCTTTCATTTTCATTTCTTGAAGTCTTTGGTTTTGGTATCAGAGTAATACTGGCCTCATAGAATGAATTGGGAAGTTGTTCTTTCTTATTTTACGTTTTTTAAGTTAGAGGTTGTGAAGTAGCAGTTCTCAACCTGTGGGTTGCAACCCCTTTGGGGGTCAAACAACCCTTTCACAGGGGTCACCTAAGACCATTGGAAAACACATATTTCCAATGGTCTTAGGACCAGAGACACTGTTCCTCTATCCATCTCCAGGCAGGTCCGCCCATATGCACATATGTCCACATACAAATACCCAGCGTGATGACATCATGGTGCCAACCCCCTCTCATACACCCCATACAAATACAGGTGTATGTGACAGGGTTAGTGCCATAACGTACTTATGCAGACCAGTCACACATGTGTAGAGAGCAGCTACTGTGAACAGAACAGCTACTGTGTAGAAAGCAGCTGCTATGTTGAAAGCAGCTACTCTGTTAAAAGCAGCTACTGTGTTGAAAGCAGCAATATTGGAGGTAAAATAACACTTCATGAATTATAATGACTGGCAAATGGAAAATCGTATACTGTAAAATCATCAACTACTGCAAAAATATATATGTATCTGTACCATGAGAACTTCATTTGGATGCTGATAGGTCTTTTTATATTCAGCTGTGGTTGATGTGAATACTGCCCCCTTGTGATAGTAACAGGTATGTAAAAAAAAACAACACAGAGATGGTAAATCATAGGAAACTTTAATGAACTGTATTGACGGAACTATGCCATGTACCATCTTTTGTATTATTAAAGCTATTGTTATATATTATTTTCATTAGCAAACCGCCCCATGACAATGGATTATGTAGAGAAGAACATTAAGAGAAGAAAATATAATGAGGATTTTTTACACTATGGTTTTACCTCAATAATTGCAGCAGGAATTGAGAAACTGCAGTGTGTTATTTGTTGCAAAATTCTATCAGCCGAATCTATGAAGCCGAACAAACTAAAATGCCATTTTGATAGCAAGCCTCCAAGCTTTCCCAGCAAGGATACCAACTATTTCAGAAGCAAAGCTGATGGACTCAAGAGAGCCAGACTTCACACTGGTGGCAAGTACCACAAACAAAACATAGCAGCCATTGAAGCTTCATATTTGGTGGCACTCAGAATCGCCAGAGCTATGAAACCCCACACCATTGCTGAGCATTTACTGTTGCCAGTGGCCAAAGACATTGTTCAAGTTATGATCAGAGATGAATTTATTATGAAATTGAGTGTGATTTTCTTATCTAACAACACTGTCTGCAGAAGAATAGATGACAGGTCTGCTGATATTCTTGATCAGGTAATCCAGGAAATTAAATCTGCTCCACTTCCAATATTAAGTATCCAGCTTGATGAATCTACAGACATTGCAAACTGTTCACAGTCACTGGTTTACATGAGATATATTAATGATGGCGACTTTAAAGGTGAGAGTCTTTTTTGCAAACCTCTTAAAATCACAACTACTGCACATGATGTATTTGACACAATTGGTTCATTTCTGAAAGAGCATCAGATCTCTTGGGAAAAGTTTTGTGGTGTTTGCACAGATGGTGCTCCAGCTATGCTAGGATGTCGATCTGGACTTCAACGTTTCATACTGAATGAGTCACCAAAAGTCATTGGAACTCACTGTATGATTCATCAGCAAATATTAACAATGAAGACGCTGCCACATAAGTTACAAGAAGTAATGAAAAGCATCATAATTTCTGTCAATTTTGTAAAGGGGAGCACTTTACTCAGTTGACTGTTTTCACAACTGTGCGATGAGTTGGATGCACCAAACAATGCTCTGCTGTTTCACCCTGACGTGAGATTGTTGTCGAGAGGAAAAGTTTTAAAATGTGTTTTTGAGCTTCGTGATGAACTCAAAATGTTTTTTAATCAGAAATTAAGACCGCAGTTTGAAGCACTTTTCAATGATAAAAGTGAGCTGCAGAAAATAGCTTACTTGGTTGACATCTTTGCCATCTTGAATGAGTTAAATTTATCACCGCAAGGACCAAATCCAACATGCCTCGATTTCTCTAAAAAGATCTGATCATTCCAAATGAAGCTTTGGCAAAAAAAAAAATTGGATGAAAATAAAATTTACATGTTGCCTACCTTACCTGCTTTCTTTGAGGAACATGGCATGGAACCAGACGAAAGGATGATGATGATAATTTCTGTGAAAGAACACTTGCACGTGCTTGCAGACGAAATTTCATTGTATTTTCCAAATCTACCTGACAGCCCATTTGCACTTGCCAGAAGCCCCATTCACAGTCAAAGTTGAAGATTTTCCTGAGACAGCACAAGAGAGTTCATTGAACTTATTAACAGCGATGCAGCAAGAACCGATTTCTCTACAACACCAGTTACAAAATTCTGGATCAAGTATTTGCAGTCATACCCTGTTCTGTCTCAGACTGTTGCACCTTCTTCTTCCATTTCCAACAACGTATCTTTGTGAAATAAGGTGTTCCAGCTTGTTGGTTATCAAGTCTAAATACACAAGTAGACATATTGTGGAAGATGATCTTCACTGTGCTATTACAAACACTGCCCCGAGAATTTCTGATCTGGTAAGAAAGAAGCAATCTCAACCTTCACACTGACGTTGGCTTTTTACACATACGTCACAAAATGTAGCAATGTAGTTTACTATTGTTATATTAAGACTGTTAACCATGCTACACCATGCTTCAAGACAAAATTTCATTTATTTGTAATTAAAAATAAATATTTCACAATATATAATTGCATATTGTTTTGTGATTAATCACTATGTTTTAATTATGTTCAATTTGTAACAATCATCCTGCATATCAGATATTTACATTATGATTCATGACAGTAGCATAATTACAGTTATGAAGTAGCAATGAAAATAATTTCATGGTTGGGGGTCCCAAGACGAGGAACTGTATTAAGGGGTCACAGCATTAGGAAGGTTGAGAACCACTGTTGTGAAAGCTTAATATTTTGTAAACATTTGGCAGAGTTCACAACTTAAGCTATCTGGACTTGTGCTCTTTGCAGGAAGGTTTTTATTATTACTATTTCTACTAATTCAATAGCTTTACTTATTACAGGCCTGTCCAGATTTTCTACTTATTCTTGAATCAGTGTAGATAGCGTGTCTTCTTGGAATTTGTTCACTTCGTCTCATTTATCTAATTTATTGGCATACAATTGTTCATAGAATTCTTCTATAATATTTTGTATTCCTGTATGTTGGTAATAATGTCCTTTCTTTCATTTGTGATTTGATCCACGTGTTTTAAGGAAAAGTCTGTGTACCCACAAGCATCCCCCATAAATAACACAAAACATTCAGAAAATTGCATTTGAGACTATTTTTAGCAGTTACAAAGTTACAACAGTTATAAAAACAAACTTAAAAACAAAAATAAGAAAACCCAAAATGCTTCTATTGTAATTCTGACAAATGATGGTTTATATCCAGACTAAACTTGACATTATACCTTAACTCTTTTTTAAAAAGTGGTTTAAAAATTGCATGAGGCTGGGTGTGGTGGCTCACACCTGTAATCCTAGCACTCGGGGAGGCCTAGGCAGGTGGATTGCTTGAGTTCAGGAGTTCCAGACCAGCCTGAGCAAGAGTGAGAACCTATCTCTACCAAAAATAGAAAAACTAGCCAGGCATCGTGGTGTAGTCCTAACTACATGGGAGGCTGAGGCAGGAGGATTGATTGAGCCCAGGAGTTTGAGGTTGCTGTAGAGTTGTGATGATGCCACAGCATGCCAGCATGCTAGCCCATGGCTACAGAACAGAGTGACACTTTATCTCAAAAAAAAAAAAAAAAGAAATGAAATGAATTTTATAAGAGCTTCTGATAGCAAACAAGCATCATCCATATATCCAGAGTCTTGAAGCACTTTAGAGGTTTAGTTAAGGCTTATGTTATATCAGCATTTTCAGGTTTTCCCAGCAGCAATTTACAGAGTACATAGAATAAAATTAAGCAGCCACACAAACCTGACCAAAAACTCAAAAACAATTGCAACTAATTTTTTCTAATTTTAGTAGAGATGGGACCTTCCTCTTGCTCAGGCTGGTCTTTAACTCCTGAGCTCAAGAGATCCTCCCCCTTCAGCTTCCCAAGAATGTTA